GATTTCTTCTGTAAAAAGGTCTCAACTTTGCAGACTTAAACATCATCTTAAATATCATCACATTAATGTAAACATAAATAAAAACTCCGAGGAAAAGGTCAGAAAATAAAGTATGAAATACGGATATATGTATTTCTCATTTTGGGCAAAGCTTTATGTGCATTTCCCAAAGAAGGTCAACGTTAAACCCAGGAAAATTCTATACATACAGTCAAAGGAAATATTTAGGAAGGAATTTATGAAGTACAGGTAAATATAAAGCATGAAATATTAAGTTAAGCAAAGAAATAAGCTAATATAAAATTAACTAATAAAGCTATATTTAAGAACAATAATTCCTGAATTAATTTTATAATTTATTTAAAAGAATAAACTTTCCCTTTAAAAAATCAACCTCAACTAGTTGAGATTTCCCTTAAAAGACCCAAACTTTATTCCTTTGTAAAATAGCACTATTTTTCTCTCAGTGAACTGGCACACATGTCCATGTCTTCGCATTTGCCATTGCCAAAAGGCGGCGCCTCCTCTGAATTATGTAGAATTTACGTGCTTTCAGCGCTTAAAGTGCAGCAATGTGCCCGAGTGTGTGTGTGTATCCTTTATGGGAGATGGTGGTGTGCGACTGTGTGTGTATGCCAGTGTGTGGACCATTAGTTTTTGTGCTGATTATTATGGCTGCCGCAGCTCGCTAGGTACGGCAGGATACAGGCCTGCAGTTACAGGATGGGTCAGGGAATGGAAGGACGCTCACGTGGCGTTGCATTTGTAACAGGTGAGCTTTATGGCTCTGTTACCGTTGCAGGTGGGAGTGTATGTATGCCCCTGCATGTTTCGTATTAAATTATGCTTGCCAACGCGCTTTCAGTGCCTGCCACCTTGCCCCATGTGTGGGTGTGTGTGTGTAGGCCTTGACCCGGGCTCAGTTTCCAGGTGAGAAGGATCCTGTGCACGACGTCTGATTGCCCCGCTCCGCTCCGCTCTGGTTTCTTTTACCCACCTGGCGGAGCGTCTGGTTTATTCAAAATTATGATGCATGGGTAAACGATTCCCTTGCTCGCTCCTTGGGCTTCTCTTGGCTCCTCTTGGCTCCCCTGGCTCCCCTCTGCTCCTCTTGGCTCCTTTTCACCTGCTCGTCAATCATCGCGCGTCATTAACAAATGCATCCTTTATCCCTGTGAGCCTGTCTGTCTGCCTGTCTGTGTGGAAAGCGGCTTTCGCTTTGTCATCTGCCATAGTGAATCGATTATCTTATTTTCCCCGAAAACAGACTCAAATTACTAAGAGTCCTTTTAGTCAAAAAAAGAAGAAGGAGGAAAAGAAGAACTATAACCTCAGAGGGTGAGTTATTCTTGACTACTTTTTCGTGAATATAAAATGAGTAAATAGCTAAGTAATGATAATTAAATATATAAAAAAAAAATAAGGAACTTGTTTATATAGCAAATATATTAATCAAAAGGATTCTATGTATATATCTATATGAATATATATATTAATGCAAAAACAATTCTTGGAAAATTCATATCAGTGAACACGAGCGTGACTAGTTCAAAGAGAGATACCTCCATGTATGCTCATGTGCTTTCACATCCGGTTACGGGAAGCAGTCAACTATTAATTTATTTGACTAATTTGGAAGTGGGTTTCCTCACTCGTTCCACCCTCCCCCCACAGTTTTGGCTTACGAAAAAAGGTCTGATATCGGGTCTGTGGCAATTAACCAACGCAGCGAAGAAAAAAAGAAAAAAAAATCCAGAAAACAGAACAGAGGCTGGCGCTCCTGCGATAGTTAGCCCAATTAACCCGCTTCGGCCGCAAGTGGCCCACTTATCCCGGGGCCAGGCATCAATGGTTTTAACTTTTTTGCCCGACTTTCACAGCAATTTCACAATTTCGAGCACACATACAGTAAAAGAGCCACCCAGGACCTGTTCGTGGGTGTGGGCCATGAAATTGTCATGCTCTAGTAACTGTCCTAACTGAACTGAACTGAGGGAAACTCTTGGAAAAGCAGGGAGCGAGCCACTGCAGCCGTCAATATGCGACTGTTTTTCATGCATTTTGCAGCCCACGTGGTTTTTACACACACAATGCGGCGTCAGCTGGGGGGAAAACTGGAAAACTGGGAAGCCAGTTTAAATGGAAAACCAAAACCGAAAACTTTTGATTCGATCTGTCTAATGGAGAAGGAGGTTACAAGTTTTAGGGGAATTAAAAATTCAGTTTAAAGAGATGGCCAGGCACTTAAATCTAAGCCAGGGGATTAGGAAAGCCAAACTATTTTGGGTTATAAAATATAAAAAAAACACAAATAAATCGTTTTAAGCTAAAGAATTAAAAGAATTAAGCCTGGTCGTTTATGTGTATAAATGAAAGAAAATAAATTGAACAAAAAAGCTTGCTGTTAGCAGAGTGAAAAATTAAATAAACAAATTAGTTTGATAAACTAAAATCAAGAATAATAAAGGAAATGTTCTATAAATTGATATATTTATATAGAAACTGCTGAATAAATACTATACATAATATTTAATAAAAATAATAACCAGCATAATAAAAAGCAATTCTTTCTAAATTAATTTATATATTTTCTTTAACAAAAGTCAGTAATATTTCTTTAAATTTGTTGTTTATTCGCTTAAAAGCTAACATTAAATATAAATGACATAAAAAATGTTTGTTTAACAACATGAATAATTGAATAAGTGAATATTTGCCCAAAGATATTTGCATATTTTGCTCGTTTATTTGTCATTCGATAGTGTCTAGAACTCAAACTCCTGAGGCTTTTTTATACATTTTTTTGCCAGCTCTCAAAACGCTTGCCTGCACTGCAGAGATTTTAGGGAAATATTGTACGAATATACATATATATTTTTTGGTTACATTATGCAAATATCTGGGATCCATTGAGCCGCGGATTTGGATGCAGCGAGCGATGCAGTTTGTGCAACGACCCGCTGGCCTTCACAATCCCCCGAACCGGGGACTAGACATGCACCGCGGGCATATAAATATTGATTTATACTATAGGAATATGCATTTATATAGCTGTGTGTGGGACGTGCATGCGGCTGGCTAAATATTAATGCGCTCTAAATAAAAAAAACAAGCGTAAAAGGAGGAGAAGGAGGAGGAGGTGCATCAGAATTGTTTTTTTGTTTTTCATTTTCGGCCCTAAGCTCCCTTCTGTCTGTTTATTTCTATTTTCAGGCTCTTGCTCCCTCTCTCTTGCTAGTATTTAGTGTTCTTTTTTTTGGGATTTCGTATTTCGTATTTCGTTTTGGTGTTTGTGCATTTTTCATTACAGCATTGACAGTGACAGCGACTGTAGCTGGAGTGTGTGCCGTGCCCCAAAAGGCATGTGTCCGTGTGTGGCATGCAACAATGGCTGCGCTAGATAGTCGCCAGTGTGTGCGCCCTGCCCCTGAGGCAAAGACGTGGCACTGTTTTTTTTGGTTGTTTTTTTTTTTTCATTCTTTTTTATATTGTGACGATTTTACAACTACCCCTTCGACGTTGCCCCTCGGGGGCACGCACAAATGTGGCACAGCCACTGGCTGTGTTCTAGTTTCCCCATATTGCTGTTCTTTGGCCAAACACACTAGGAACAAATAGTTTCGGGATGAAGAATGCACTACTCAAAGTCAAGAACATTTACTGTGGACTTGAGATGTATTCATTAAGACGGAAAGATGGAATTTTTAAAAGCCTAAATTTTAGGGAAGCTGGAAATATATTTTTGAGGGCTAGAAATATCTAAGGGAAATATCTTATTTAATCTGTGTGATAAAACTATCTTAAAACTAATTTACTTATTTTAAAAACACAAATAAAGTAATGCTTTAATATTTTAAATTTATAGAGAGTTTTCTAACACTTTTAAGTTGCTTAAAAAAGTCTAAGAAATTCTATAAAAATAATGCCTAAGATAATTGAGCTATCTCTATATGATAAATCTATCATAAAACTAATTTTCTTAAGCTTAAAATACAAATCAACAAATCTTTATTTAATTTATAAAAAATTTTCTAAGATTTTTAGTTGCTTAAAAAATATATGTTTAGTTTTTTAGGCCAAAAAATTCCTTTAAAAAAATTGCATATCCGATAAGTTCCTAAAGAACTAATTGCCAGTAGCTAGGAGGATAGGAAATCATAAGATTTGTAAAATAAGAACACTAATTTAACAAAAATTTTAATAAAAAATAAAATACTTTTAAAGTTATTTCCCTTTCAAATCAAAATATTCCCCAACCCCATGATTTCAACACCCCTTAAACCCCACATTAGGCCTACTTATTTCCCCCAGTGCAGCCTATATCCGCCATTCGATGGGTTTATTCGCATTTCTACTCTGTATTTGCCGCCATGATTCGGCAAGCCAACAACATGCCCTCTCTTTCTCCACTTCCCAGTGTCCCCGTGTTTCTTTCTCTGTCTTATTGCCGGGCAATTTCTGGCTTTGTTGATTGCTTGACAAATTGCCAGCCAGAAAGCCGAGAGGAGACGGGAGGAGATAGCAACAGCAGACAGGAGAGTTGTAGACAAGTGTTCTTGTCGTTCCTGCGGGGCCACCTTTCGTTTTGGCCTCATTGCTGTTGTTGTTGCGGTGTCAGGCATTGACAGGTGATGCACAGGTGATTTCCGCGCTCATCGCCTGACCTGTCACTGCACTCGACGGAGCCAATGAAATGTAACAAATTAACGATTTCTCTCGATTTCTCTCGATTTCACGATTTCTCGATCTACCATTTAATTTGATATTTGTGAAAAATAAGCGTCGAATGGCCTTTGACAATATTTCATGCATTACGGGCGAGCCCTAATTAAATTATCCTTGTTTCGGGTGAACAGGCAATATTTGCCGCAAATGGCCATGAATATCAAATTGAAAAGGCGGCCATAAAACATAATATATATAAATTATATGCACCATTATTTTTGTTATATTTTCTGTTAGTCAAAAGTCAGTGATGTTTGTGTGTGTTTGATATTTACCGCAAATGCCGCATGCCGCAATGTATGCTATAATAAAAATAAGTGCCGCGGGTTTTTGCAACCCGTCAAGGACACGGCCGTGCTTGATGCAATATAATCCACTTGATGCCGGCATGTTGTTGCTGTTTTTCCAATAGTTGTTGTTGCTGTCAATGTTGTTGATGTTTTGCTCGTTTTCCCCCTTTTTCGGCGGCTGCCAATTGTTTTGCATTTGTAAATCAATTTATCAGACGCTTTAATTTCATTTCATTTGTCACTGCACTGGCAATTTCAATTTGTCGGTGACATTGCCGTAATTAAAACGTTTTATTATGTTTCCTTTTTCGTTTCTAATTGTTTTTTATTTTTTTGTAAATTTTTTTTTGCTTTGTTTTTCTTAATTAAATGCAATTTCCGTGTTGATTTATTCACATTTTAAGCGACATTTGCAATTAACTTTGCCTGATTTTTATTGTTTTCGTTTTGTAACTTTTTTGTTTTATGCGGTAATCCATTTAGACACAGTTAACTGTCACATTTTTTGCGTGCAAAAACACATGGCTGCCATATGCCATCGTTCCAGCCAAGAACCACGTTGCGTATACTTTATATATCGCGCATTCGCCGCGTTGACCGCGTATAAACTGGACCGAACGGAACCCGTTACCGCTGCGGCCAACGCTTAACTGACTGAGCTCAGCAGCTGCCGTCGTCGTCAACGTTGTTGTTTTGCCTGGCTGCTGCTGCTTCTGCTGCTGCTGCTACTTCTACTTTTCCTGCTTTTCCGCTTTTCCAGCTGGCACCTCAGCCGCCTGTCTGTTTACTTTACGCTTTCGCACGCGACTGACACGAGGATCCAAGGAAAAGGCAGCAGCAGCCGTGGCAAAGTCTGCACAGGCTTCGTTTCGTTTTCCTCTCTCATTTTACGCTTGAGGGAAACTCAAAGAGCAAGAGGTCTCTCTCTCTCTCTCTCTCTGTGATTTTATAGCATCTCCGGTTCGTGTGAAATGTTTGCTTAATTGGTCCTTGGGGAGGGAAAAGTAGAATCCTGCCCAGTTTGTTTGTTGTTCTTCGACGAATCGAGTCAAGGGGGTTGTTTAAAAGGGGAGTGGGTTATGAGGAAAACTTTTTAACAAAATGTTTGAGTTATAAATGCAATTAAAGCTTACTGAAACAAATTACTAGCTGTCATTGGAATATAATGAGGGGATTTAAAGGTAAATAACTAATAGGTATTGTAAACAAAACTATTTTGAAGTATTTAGTAAGCAAAAACGGGAGTTTATTTTTATGAAAATGATTAGGAAAATGTGTATTATTACGTATATTAATTGTTAATTCTGTTTAGGTTACTTTTAATATGTTTTTATCAGGAAATAAGCTTTTAATCTTAGTTAATGTCTAGTTTAAGACTTTAACACTTTAATTAATATCTTGATGATTTTTGAATGTTTTTATTGTGTTTTTTATACCCTTGCCGGGTACTATATTTTTAGTCAAATGCTTTCAAATCAGTGAAGGAATCATTTCCGACCCTATAAATCATATATATTCTTGATCAGCATCAACAGGCGAATCTTTCTGACCATGTCCGGAAGAAAATAATTTTTTGGCCATTTTTGCAAAATTTTATAAGGGGTTACATCATTAAAATTTTGAAAAATCGCAAAGAAATTTAATTTTTTTAATTTTAAAATTCGATATGCAGATTTATTAGCGTATTAAAAACTAACATAAAAAAGCTTTCCGAATTGAATTTGATGATTTTTTAGCTGAGTTATGATTGATTTTTGACTACAGGAACATACAAATTTTGGCTTTGAAGTTAGTCTCCATTCTTGTTTATATTTTTCATTTTTTAATTTATTTTCTTTTTATTTTTCCAATTTATTTTTAAACAAACTACTAAACTCTATTAAAACAAACTCTTTTATTATGGATTCTCCCTTGAACAGCTGTTGGGATTTTTATAGCAAACATTTATTTCCGGCCAGCGCTCTCTTCCACTCTCTCTTCCTTGACGTTCGTGCGCATAGTTCAGCTCTCTGAACTTTCTCTTTTGCTCTCTCTTTGTGCAGCCACAACAGCCGAGTGCCGAAGACACTTCGCCTTCGACGTCGCCTTCGTCACGCGTCTCGACGCGCCTGGCTGCGCTTCGTGGACAAACAAAGCGCCAGCAAACCGCTTCAATTTGGGTTATTGTGCTGAAATTAGTTGCAACCGAGTTTCGGGTTGGCCCTCAGCTGGGGCCAACTCCCCTTTTTGGCCAGCTCACGCACACGGCTTTTTGGCAGCAGAATGCTCTGCATACTTTTGGGACTGGCCCCGAAATCTGTAGCAAATCCAAGAGCCAAAGAAGGCTAACACGGTTTAGACCTTGTCCAGCACTGAAAGCATTTTCGCGTCGGTTGTCTTATCTGTTTGGTTCCGAATTCTGCATGACTTCATCGGTTGGAAAAGAAAGGAAAGGGAATTAATGGGGAAATGGTAAGGCTTTTAAGGGGTTTTTATAGAGAAATATTTTTTAGGCGTTTAAATAATCTTTAAACTTGGTTGAAAAAATACTTAAGAGTTAGTTAGTAAGTTAAAAGAGTAAGAGTTTGTATTTTAATGTAATTTTTGAACATTTTTTAACCCCAAAATCATGTAATCTATCAAGCTTCTTTGGGCCTTTTCTATTTCTTTCCTCAAAATATCCTCTGGAATATAAAAACCATATATCAGGCAATGAAAACCTGACCATCAAACATCGAGCCATGTATGTTAATTCCCTTTGCCCAGCCAAGGTCCTGTGATATCTGCCACACTGACCCACTCAATCTCACTTTCAGTTTCAGTTTCAGTTTCTTTTCCTTTTTCCCTTTTCGCTACCCCGGAATCTGTATAAATTGCCGGCAATTCCTGTTTTGCCGGGACATATAAAAAGTTACACTTGCTTCATCCCAAGACCCCTACTTTCGCCTTCGTTTTATGTACCCGCAGCCGCAGATTGCTGCAGCTTTCATTATCTAAAAACAAGAAAATCACAGACAATCAGTTAGCGCTGCTCAAGCAAATAAACTCGTCAGGACCCGCCACATACACACATACACAGCAAAAAAAAAAAAAAAATATATATATATATAAAGAAAGTGAAAGGAGACTCTGAAGGGCAGAAGAAAAGCCCCGAGAGGAAGGAGACCAGACAGACAAGAAGTTTTCCAGCTCGTGTGCTGCTTTTTGTTGCTGGTTGTCTCTCTGTCTCTAAGCAAACTCGGGCAAAAAGTTTGCCCAGAGTTTTGGCCGTTTGCCGCTTGCCGGTCTCCAGTTTGCAGTCAATGGTGCGTCATTATTTTCATTTATTGGCACAATCAGTCAACGTTTTATTTCCGGAATGTAATTAGGTAAACTGCCATAGACAAAGACAGAAGCACAAATACACACATACGCGCCGGAAATACGCTGACAGATGCAGATGGGAAACGGGAAGAAAGAGGAACAGAGAGGAGAAGCAGCCAGCGAGTGTCCTTTATGGCACAGTAATGCGAGAACTTCACTCAGCCACAGGGGGGAGATAGCCTGCAGGCAGCCTTTGGGCCACCAGGACTCGGCACTCTGCAACGTCTGGCCTTAAGGAGATGCTGTTGTGCACTGTGATTTTTACTAATAATATTTATTTTATTTAGCTTGAAAATAAATAAGTAAATTAGCCTGAATTTTAGAGCTAGTAAAATGCTAATATTTATTTAATAAATTAAGTAATTATTTATGCTGAGGATTCCTTTTAAATCCTATTTAAAGCTGAGCTCTCCTTAGCTTAGCTTCTATAAATTTTATACAATAAATATCCCAAATCCATATATATCCTCCCATCTAAATGCACAATTATTTGCTTACTTCTTAAAGGGCTTGCCAAGTGCCGGAAAATGGCGAAGAGAAAATTACTCATACGCTTGGAAAGCAACATCTTCGATGGTGCTGGAAAATTGAAAACAAATGGGCAGGACCTAAAGGATATAGACAACACAAGCGGGCTGTTTAACAAGGGAAAACATCTCAAACCGAATGGAAGGTGGAGGTGGAAGTGAAAAACAAGTTGCAACAGCCAGCGAAAATTTCCAAAAAAAAAATGCTGCCTGCCACCTTCGGATGAAGCGTCAGTCTTCAGCATCAGCAGGTAGCCCAGCTCCAAACTGAAAATGGAAAAGTTTTTTTCCACGCCGAGATGAATTGCTCGCGCTGATGCCGAAGCGCACAATGCCCAAGCCCAAGTAAGGCTTCGGCGGAAAAACCCCCGGAAAACCCAAAGCCAACAGCTGGCTGTGAGTGAAGCGAAGCGTTCCAGATAGAATTTGAGCGCAGTAAATTTTTCAATCGACTCGCTAATAAAGGCAATAAATATTCGATTCGCTTTCGTTTGCCTCCGTTTCGATTCGATTCGTTTCGTTTCATCTTGCCTCGATTGAAGTATTTGCTTTCAGCTTTCGCCTGGATACTCTCCTGTATAGTTTTTTGTATTATGTTTGGTAATCTTCGGTTTTCCACAGCCAATGGCCAGCTTTTCTTATCGGACGGCAATTGTCCTCGCTTATTTTCAATTTTCCCCTCGGCCTTTGTTTTCCCCCTGCTTGTTTTTTCCCCGCCACACCATCCAACTCCTTGTTAGACACTGCGACAGCGAAAATTTCATTTCGTCTCACTGCATTTTCCCGTTAAATTGAATTTAACGTGCTGGCATTTTTCACTGCTACCTTGCCGAAGCATTATTCCCGAAAACATAGCTCACAATTTCTACTGTTTCCAGCGTTGTTTTCCATCCCATTTTCGCATTTCCCAGCAGCCAGCAGCCAGCAACCAGCCAGCCATTGCAGTGCATTGTTCCTTGTCCGTTGTTCGCAGTAAATAAAAGCCGAGGCAACAAAGCAGAAATGAAGAAATTCCCCAAAATGGAAATGTGTCACACAATGTCGTGTCCTCGGACTTGGGACTCCTTTCTCTCTCTCTAGGTTTCGTGTGGAGTTATTCTGGAGCCACAAAAGCGGGAATCAAAGGCCTCACCATCATCGTCATCATTGGCCTGGCTAAAGTGCTGACTCAACTCGGGCTACTCAATAGTTTTACAGCCTCTATAAGGGCGAGGCTCATTTTCATTTTTCAACCATTTTCCGGGAGGGCCCGCCACTTAAGCAAATTGAATATGGAAATTGATTTTTATTGTAACTCGAATCCCTAGTCGCTGCCAGATTAGATTATCCGCCACCAGTTGGCATCTGACCATCGATTTCCCCTGGAATTTCGCTGACGGGGAGGCCGGCGAACTTTGGCCAAAGTTTATTGAAATATTTAGCGGGAACTTAAGTAATAAGTTGCCGAATCAGTACGCAAAAGATTAAAGTCCAATAAATTGTGCGAGGGGAGGGAAAAACTCTTTCACCGCGTTTGAAATTGGATTTTCATTTGGGAAATTACTGGACAAAGTTTTGTGCCCACCCGCCAGATAGTAATGGACTTTTAAGCTCTTTGAGCCGCAAATTAAAGGGGCCTCAAGTGCTTCACTCTCCCAGCTGCAGTCACCTTCAGATGTGGCAACAAAGGACCTCCTTCTCCTCCCAGGCCAGTCATAAATGTTGCCTTGCATTGATTGTTTCTGCAGAAATTCCAGTGGATCTGAGAGAGATGATGGCTTCCCCTTCTGCACTCGGCGTGTCCTTAATTATTTTTTGTGACGAAACGAGCTGCCAAGCGGCCAATTATCCGCCATAATACTGCGATTTAATTTAAAAACCTGTCACAGAAGAATGGAACGCTGATGTGTGTGTGTCAGAGCCTTTCTGGATGACAAAAA